TGGAACAGAAGCGTCCAGTTTTTGGATTAGCTGGGAAACTGGGATGATATAATGTACAATGCTTTTATAGACCATGTAAAGACTATCAAGAGACCTTTTTTTGTATAAACCATGGAGTAATGTTATCTAACTATCCTCTGTTGGACAAATATGTATTAGATGTGGAATATTTTTGGAAATTTAAATGGTATATGATCAACATTTATTTTATTGTACTTAATTTTTTTTCTTAGAATTAGAGTTTGTATATTTTTCTTTGAATTCAAGATCATTTAAATCCTTATAAATGTGCATTTGATCTCAGTCCATCACTCAGGGATCTCTCTTGTCTTGTTTTCCATAGCTAAGCAACGCTGCAAACTGTACTGTCAATCCAAAGAAACGCGAGCTGTAGTCAACATGCAGACTCCGGTGGAACCTGGAACACGCTGTTCCTACAAAGATCCCTACAGTGTGTGTGTGGCCGGAGACTGTGAGGTGAATAGCTGTGTGTACCGTTTGTAAAGGTTTGTGTTTAGTGGCCTGTTGCTCATGATGTCTCTCTCCCTTCAGAAAGTGGGCTGTGATAATGTGGTTGGATCAGCTCTACAGGAAGATAAGTGTGGCATCTGCGGGGGAGATGGAACCAAGTGCAAGACTCACAAGTTTAACTTCACCTTTGTAGAGAAGAAAGGTGCGCATCCGCAACACACATGAAGGCTCTGTTCCAAAACCTAGTGGAGGCAGCATTTTAAGGCATCACAGGCCCAGTCCAGACACAATGGCTCTTCCAAACATAGGCATAATTATAAGCCTCCTAAGATACCTTCTTTCAGACAGATTCTTGGCAAAGAAAATCCCATAACACAGTGCAACTTGCAAGATCAGTGAAAAAATTACATGAAGCAAATGTTGGTTTCAAATACTATTCATTTAATACTGAAAAGTAGTGATGGATGCTTTCGAAACACTGCTTTGTGAAGCTTGTATCAAACTGCCATTAGTCATGTGATTTCAGTAAACAAAGCTTTGTTATGTCATATCTGTTTCAATGTTTACATTTTTAAAATGTTTAAAAACACATATTTATAACAAAAGCAAGATTTGTAGTTACTAGTCAAATACTGGCCTGATTATCCAAGCTCTCCACATAACAAAAACAAAACAAGGTCTAAAATTTAATAAAATAACACATATAGACAATTCATGTTTAATAGTATTAGAAATTTCCGAAAAGCTTTGTTTCTTTAATCACATTTTTATGTTTATTAAAGTAAAGTAATAGTGATTTGCAAATGTTTTGGTGTAGGTGTCATTAAAGTGCTGGAAGTTCCCAGAGGGGCGAGACATCTCTTCATTCAGGAACTTAATGGGACTACTCACATTTTAGGTAAAGCCTGATCATTTCCTGTAGTTTTGATTCATCAGATCATTTCCTGTCTGTTTGATTGCAGCTCTCTCTCTCTCCGTTTTTTTTTTTTTTT